CTTGTACAGATTCAGGCCAGCAAACGCACAAACGTGCGCCACGAGCTGCGTAGTTGTGCTAACGAGATGAAATCAGTTCCTATGGCTAGGGAATCGGATGTAGTAGAGAGCAGTGTGAATAAATAGTGGTAAAAAAGGCATTCAGACGTTGGCGCAGTGACATGTTGCGCGCAGGCCTATCCTTGCACAGATTCAGCCCAGCAAACGCACAAACATGCGCCACGAGCTGCGTAATTGTGCGAACGAGATGAAACCAGTTCCTATGGCTAGGTAATAGGATTCAGTAGAGAGCTGTGTGAAGAAATAGTGGTAATAAAGGCATTCAGACGTTGGCGCAGTGACATGTTGCGCACAGGCCTATCCTTGCACAGATTCAGGCCAGCAAACGCACAAACGTGCGCCACGAGCTGCCTGGTTGTGCTAACGAGAAGAAATCAGTTCCTATGGCTAGGTAATAGGATGTAGTAGAGAACTGTGTGAAGAAATAGCGGTAAAAAATGCATTCAGATGTTGGCGCAGTGACATGTTGCGCACAGGCCTATCCTTGCACAGATTCAGGCCTGCAAACGCACAAACGTGCGCCACGAGCTGCGTAGTTGTGCTAATGAGATGAAACCAGTTTCTATGGCTAGGGAATAGGTGGTAGCCCTAAACAGTGTGAAAAAGTAGTGGTAAAAAATGCATCCAGACGTTGGCGATGCGACATGTTGCGCACCGGCCTATCCCTGCAAACCCTTGGACCAGCAAAGACACAAACATGCGCCACGTGTCGCGCATGCATATCCTTGTTGGTAATTCTCTGCTAGAGTGTTCTAATCAACATAACCACAATGTTTATAGGTTTAGAAATGTATAATACGCTTTCATTAGAGTCAACATGTTATATTTTAATAGACGGTGATACGCGATATCGGACCCCCCACATTTGTGGCTGAGCCCTAATAAAGGTTTGCTTAGAACTCAATACATATGGCTAATTGGGCTGGAGTTGATCCCCACGTCACTTATTTTTTATACCTATCTAATATCACATTTTCGAAAGAACATAACAGACACAACTCTTAAAATGAGGTGTGTAACATGTTACTATTCTGTCTCTTCAACAGCAACCGAAACTGAGATGACGTGGCCAGAATATTCAAACATTTCCACGCGAAGGTGAATCAGGGTGTGATGTGTTGGTTGGCAAGCACTCCACACATCTCGCGATCTATTCCCCTTTGTGCCTGAAAAAAGAAGACCAATGAAAACGCTCGTAAGCATCCAACCACAATCGCCACGTAAACCATGGTTTGTGGTGCACCTGAACAGTGCTTGTCTGTAAACAGAGGTAAATAGGGATCGAGAGGGGGGGGATGTAAACGAAGCGAAAGGCTTTTGACAATCTGCAGGAACAAATCCAGCGCAACTGATGATAAACTGCCGGGAAGCAGGGTAGTGCGAATTTCACCTCATCAACCATCGAAAACTACCGGCCTCCCAACTCGAAAAAGGACCCCTTCCCCCCCCCCCCCCCATTCTCGGCAGTTTTACATTTTTCTGATGCCGCCGCACGCCCCACTCGCTCCACATCCACTCCTTCGCGAAAAAACAGGGCGTTACCCCCCGATAATGGATGAGGAACCTCGACGTTTATCCTCGGGTATTTACCCATATAATGGACCTCACAGTGGAGGTTAGTTGCACCACGATGGAGCAGATTCTGCGCGCAATCGGCGCGGGGTGCCCGAGGCTGGAGAGGCTGAAGCTCGTGTTGTCGCGGGACCGGTTGCTCATCAACGCCGCCACGTGGAGGAAGCTCGCCACGCAATGCCCGTGAGTGAGTGGTTCCGGTTTCGCGCCGCGACGGCGCCTCTACTACTTGCTCTCCCCTTATCGTTCATTCTCTCGTCTATTCTCTATCAGGTGCAAGTACCGCTCCACGCAATGATTGTTTGTCTTTGCTCCCCCGCATCGCTGTGCTTCCCATCGTACGGGCGTGTATCACCTTGGCCAATGTGGTGGATTCGCGCGTCTCAGTACATTATTGTGAACATCAGTGTCACGTTCACACCCTTCCCAGAAAAAGCGCCCGGGGGCTTATTTATTGCAAACGACGGTGCACTCGGTATTGATGCGGTGAACGGCATTATCACGGTTCGTCTCCCTCCTTCGCCGTGCCGCTCTTGAGCGAGCGCAGAGACGTACTCTCTCTGCACTCCGTCCGTTCCTCTCCGACCACACTTCTTTTCACCCAACTCCTATCTAACCCTGCTACTTCTTCTTGCCTCCGTCGCCATTCTTCACTATGCCCTTCGCCACTCACGCGCCACAATCCCTTCTCACCCCTCTCTTCCACTGGCACACTCTCGCTTACTGCGTTTCTGTTCTCTTCTTCGCTGCTCCCTCATCATGACTGCCACCCCGCTCTCTTCGCTTCCTGCATCCTCTCTACCTGCATTCCCCTGCACCCCTTCCGCACCCCTCCTGTCCACGCCTTGAACCCATTCCTCCAGTGCATACCACCACTGCTTCACCCATGTCCCCGGCAACTACGCAACCTATAACGCCCGCTCGGCCACTGGGCCTCAGTGCTGGTTGTTCGGAAACAGCAGACGTTACACAACACAACCACATCCCCCCTCCACCCCTTCCCCAAATCCAATCTCTTTGCCCCCACCTCTCCCCCCCCTGCTCCCCCTCACACCAACCTCGTGACGACACTGGAGATCCACTCCCCACTCACCTGGAACGACCCGCCGCCTCCCCCAGTGCACGCCTTCCCCTTCCCCTTATTGCGCTCTCTCACCCTCCTCTACACGCCCACGCACTACCGCTTCATCGCCCTCTGCTCCTCCCTCACCTCCCTCACCCTCTCGCGCCCCTACGCCTTCGGCCTCTACACCCTCGCCTCCGCCTCCTCCCCACTCCGCCGCTCCCTCGCCTCCCTCACCATCCACTCTGGCACGCTCGAGGCCGCCCTCAAGCCCCTCGCCTCCTTCCCTCGCCTCGCCTCGCTCGCCTTCCACTCCTGCACCATCGACCCCTGCGACCTGCACGCGCTCGCTCGCTCGCTGCACACGCTCACCCATCTGGCCGTCCACGACTGCGCCATGATTCCCAGCCACTCCCTTGCAGCGCTGGTTGAAGCCAACCCCGCTCTCTCCTCCCTCTCGCTGCACTCCACCTCCTACTTTCTCTTCATCCCACAAGGCCTACGGGATCTGCTCCTCTCGTCCTCCTCCCGCCTGCACACCCTCACACTCTCCGGGCTGCCCTCGTGCCGCCCGGGCATGCTTGCACGCTGCAGCAATCTGCAACGCCTCACGCTGAGAGGACGAGAGGCGGCGAGCGGAGGTATCTTGCCGTCCATGTCGCCGCAGAAGCCGTCTCTGGACTGCCTTGTGGCCATGCTAGTGCGCGTGGAGCAGCCGGGGGTCGTTGATGGACCGCAGGGAAGGGATGATGGAGTGGTGGGGCTGGAAGGGGCGATGGCTGTGGAGAACGAAGGGGGAGGAAGCACCGCTGCTTTCCCTGCAGCAGCAGCAAAAGAAGAAGCAGAAGCAGGAGATGAATTGGAGGCAATGACAATCGGAGAAGCAGAAGCAGCAGAGGGCGACGAACCGGCATCACCGGCATCAGCTGCCACGCCGGTGGTGGCCTGCGAGGGGGTGAGGGGCAGCAGCAGGCGACGGTACGTGGACCTGCCCGTGGAAGCAGCAGCATCATGCGGTGACTTTGTGGCAGCAATGAACAACTGGATGGACCTCATGGAGACATCCAAGTGGAAGCTCAAGGAAGCCGCCGTAGAGGCGCTGCACCGGCGCCACTTGCACCACGGCGTGGGGGCCCTCTCCTACATCCACCAGGCCGTCGTTCGGGTCCGCTCCGCCATCCTGCTGTGCCGCTGCGTGCGGCTGGCTAAGGCCGAAATGAAAAGCAGCAGTGCACGCCAGGAGGCACTTGCAAAAACCTGCCGTGCTGCCGAGGCTGCAGGCTTCTTCACTGCTGCTGTGGAGGAGGAAGTGCAGGCGCAGCCGGAGTGGAATGAGGAGGGGGGGGGAGGGCAATGGATTGATGCAGAAGAGGTGGTGCGATACATGCCGGAGGATGACCTGGAAGATGATCTGGCGGCCGTGAGTGCGAAGCTGCTGGCGTGGGTGGCGGTGCCGCAGGCAGACGCACGGGAGCTGCTGCGTGCACTGATGGAGCTGCTGCTGCTGGAGATGGAGGACATGGGCGCTCGCTTCGACATCAATGATCCTGCTCCGCCCCACCCCGCAGCACTGCCTGCGCCGGCAGCACTGCCCGTGCCGGCAGCAGTGCCTGGGGCAGCGGCAGGAGGGCTGGTCACCGCAGCAGCAGGAGCTGGGGTAGCGGCAGCGGTGCCGGCAGCACAAGGAGCAGCAGAAGGGGCAGCAGCAGAAGGGGAAGCAGCTGGGGCAGCAGCAGGTGAAGCAGCAGCAGAAGGGGCAGCAGCAGAAGGGGCAGCAGCAGAAGGGGCAGCAGCAGAAGGGGCAGCAGAAGAAGGGGCAGCAGCAGAAGGGACAGCGGCAGAAGGGACAGCGGCAGAAGGGGCAGTGGCAGAAGGGGCAGCAGCAGAAGGGGCAGAAGCAGAAGGGAAAGCAGCACAGGAGCCAACAGTCTCAGAAGCAGGAGCAAGAGGCGCAGTGGGAGAGGAGCCGAGAGCAGCCGGAGCATCAGAGCAGCTGCCAAGGGCCAAGCAACTGGGCGGCAGAAGCTCAACCCACCCACCGCCACAGGGGAGCGCACTCTCTAACAAGAGCACACCTTCAAAGACGAGCACACCTGCAACTCCTGTGGAAGTGTTCTGCCCTCCACTGGACTCGTTAACCCTCGACACCATTCGCTTCGTCTCCACTTGTGACCCTTCCGGGCTACCCTCCCTCACCTCTGCCTCTCCCCTCATGTGCCCCTCTCCCCCCACCATGCCCTTCCCTTCCCTTCCTTCATCGTCCTCCCCCTCCTCTACTATCCCAAGACTGTGTAGCGAGCCACAGTCCTTTGAGTCGCTGGCACGAGCTGCTGTCTTCAGAAGGCTCAAGAGCTTGGCTCTCGTTAACTGCTGTGGGCTGGAGGAGGGGCAGCTGGTGGAGCTGCTGCGTGCATGTGGCATGCTGGAGGATCTAAGGGTGGAAGGCTGTGATGGCTTCTCAGACAGCGTGATGGCAGCAAGTAAACTGGTGCTGTTGACTTGGTTGAGTGTGGTGGGGTGCAGTGGAATCACTGCAGACGCTATCGGTGGGTTGCTGGGGAACGTGCCAAGGCTGCGGTTTTTGAAGGTGGAAGTTAACAAGGTTTCTGAAAGGGCTCGGCGGGAGCTGCTTCGTGCTGGAGTGGTTGTTAGGGGAGTGTGACTCTGCTTGGTTGATAAGCTGAAGGTTATTCGCAAAAGGGCTGTATTATTACTATGGATTTCCCACACAAGTCTCAACTCAAGGTACCTATGTGGAGCTTTTAGATGGAGACATGGGTACAAGCGAGACAGTCTCAGCGCAGGTTGCAATAAGTGGCGAAGATGGAGAGGGGGGGAGGAGTGAGACGGGGTATGGAAAGGGTGGACTAGGTGAGGGGGGGCTGATTGCAATGAATTACCGTCATCGCCCAGATAGCAGACAGATGTATGTCTTATCTCGAAAAAGGTTGAGTCTATTTTGTAAATGGAAGGTTATGGGTGTATCATAAATCTTATAGATAGAAACCTTTTGGAATACTAAATTTGTTTCTCACACATTTACAAATGGGTTTCTAATCATGAGTATGGATTTTCAAAGGTTCCTACTTCGGCAACCATTGTTCGGGACGCAACGTCATGACGAATTCCGGCAGAGGTTAGCATGTGGACATGATCGGGTTTCGCATTTTTTCACTATAGTACCTACAGTTTCGGCTATAAGACATATGTCTTATCTTATACTCGTAACAATTGTCAAAAACTGCATTTTATACATTCTTAGGCTACAGTGGGGCTAGTCTTAGGGGGTATACCTTTCCAGGGTTTCCTACGTGTACTCCCATTCCGTTAGTCAAACTCATTCTGCAGTTTACACTTCTTGACATGGTATTAGTCGCTAGGTTAGGTCCGTACCTATCGCTAGTTACCCCGCGCGCTACTGCCCGTGCGCCGCGCCTGCCCGTACGCCGCCCTGGCGCGCCTGCCCGTGCGCTACCCCGCGCGCCTGCCCGCGCGCGCTGCCCTGCCGCCGCTGCCCCGCGCGCCGCGCCTGCCCGCGCACGCTGCCCGTGCGCCGTGCCTGCCCGCCTGCCGTGCCTGCCCGTGCGCTGCCCCGCGTGCCGCGCCTGCCCGCGAGCGCTGCCTGCCGCCGCTGCCTCACGCGCAGCTGCCCGTGCGCCGCGCCTGCCCATGCGCCGCCCTGCCACGCCTGCCCGTGACCTGTCCCGCACGCCGTGCCTGCCCGCGCGCGCTGCCCTGCCGCCCCTGCCACGCGCGCCGCAACTGCCCGCGTGCGATGCCCTGCCGCCGCTACCTCGCGCGCAGCTGCCCGTGCGCACGCTGCCTTGCCGCGCGCATCAGGCATGGGGCTTGTTCTTGGGGGGCAGGGTCCAGTTGTGCTCACATGACACTCAGACGCTTCTTGGGCTGACGATCAGGCGACTCAGCGGTCGTCACAGGGTTACACTTTCAGTCTCGGCACTGGTTCTGTCTCGTGGAGGTCCACTCGTTCGTCCTCTGTGCTTAGCTCCAGCTGTGAGGCCGAGATCTACGCTGAGGCTATGGTTGCGCAGAAGTTCCGCAGGCTGACCTACGTGCTGACTAACTTGGGTGAGCAGCCTCGTTCTCCTCGAGTTCTGTACATCGACAACAAGGCCATGCTTGCCTTGTGTCTAGAGCAAATACTGGAGCACAGAACGAAGCACAATGCTCTTCGTTACTTTCTTGCACGAGAGTTACAGTACCGTGATCTTGCTTCGTCACTTCGCCATGGTGAAGGTGCATGTGAATCCTTGCATAGCAAGCTGAGAGCATGCGAGGAGGTTGGCAGCCAATCCAGGAACATGAAGCATACCCTTCATATTCAGCACCTCCCCCTCCTTCCCCTGGATGGTGATGGTGCCGATGTCGGTTGCTTGCAGCGTATCTCTGCTCCCGATGATCACATTTCTTGAGTTAGGTGGAGGGAGTGGTAGGTAGTGAAGAGTTTACGCTGTTGTACCATTCCTGAAGTGGCACCAAAGTCTAGAACGAGGTGATTGGGGTCAGCCAACACACGAACAGCAAGCGCCGTCTCCTTGTAAGGAAGGAGAAACCGTCATCTGACAAATCCTCTATTCCCTTTACACCATCATTTGCCACCGCTGCTGCCGCTTTTCCTTTGCTGCCCTTCTTGTTCCAGGCTCCATTCTTCATCCTCCTCTCCACCCACTCAGGCCTAGTGACAGGTGAAGCCCCTCTAGTGTAGCCTTGAGGCTTGCAACTATCTGTCCGGCTCCAACACTCCTTCCACAAGTGCTTCCGGTTGCATTCAGGGACGAGGCAATTGTCGAGCTCCTACTTCTTCCCCCCACCTTCTAGCCGCTGCTTGTACTTTTTTGGAGGCAACCCTATCTGCTGCCACCATTCCCTCTTCAACTCATCTTCCAGCATCATGCTTGCGAGCCTCATCAGAGATCAACACCTCCCATATACAGGCCTTGCTCCATATTTGCTGCTCAAGGTGAAGGTATTGAAGCAGGGCCTCGTTTCCCTCTTGGTCCAGCCCCTGTAGTGCGATGTAGATGATCTCCTTCTCATCTACATGGTATTACAACTCCTCCAATGCCCTCACATACTCGTCCAACTTTTGGAGGTACTGCACCATGGTCCCCCGAGCACCATAGTTGCGTTCCATAGTGTGACCCGCTTCCTCCAAATGATTATGCTTGGAAGCCCGTTATGCAAGTGCCGATCTTTGAACTCGCTTCCATGCTTCAGCAGCTGTTCCTTGCTTCCCCTTCAGGTCAATCAGCATCTTGAGGGACTCAAGTTGGCCTTCCAAAGCCCAATACAAGTACTTGAAAGCTTGCTTGTCCTTCCGGTTCCATGCTTCATATGCCTTGAGTAACTCCTCCGCACTAAGCCATTTCGGTTCTCGTTACTGCTGATCCACTTATGGATAAGCTAGAGGCTTCCCCAGCCCTTGCTCCCACTTGGATAGACAATCCAGCAAATGCCTCTACCTCATCGGCTTCAGGCCTTTGCTCCGATCCATCCAAGCCGCCCTCTAGGTCCTTGATACCTAACCAAATCGTAAATTGGAACCTCCGTAGTGAAAATATTGAGCTGTTGAGCCTAGGAGGGCCATCTAGTTTCTGGGCCATGACCAACCCTAGATTTGGAGGTCCTTAAACCAATTCGAAATCCGATAATAGGAGGGAATGTTGCTGGCCTAACCAGCTCTGCTACCACTGATGGAAGTGCAAATCTAGAGAGCAGCTCACGTATCTTCATAATATGGGCTGGTATGCATTGGAAAGGTATAACTGTCTAATCTTCGAAATGGTAAAGCGCGCCTTCAAGCAAGATCTACGCCGATCGCTATAGCGATTTGAGTGCGACGGGTTATCTTGGCGGAATTTGTCAAGACTTATATGCTTATAGGTTGTAGGCTATATGGGTGTTAGCACTAGGGGGTACACAATTCCTGTCGATGTTGTTCTTGTACCCCACCCCCTTGACCTAATCACCACCTATTCTCCTTACCTAGTCTCGACATGGTATCAGAGCAGGTCCTTAGGACCGTTTTTTTTTTTTTGGCCCACCGCTTAGTTTTGTTTTCCTGCCCGAAATTCTGCCCTGCCTTGCCCTTCCCCGTGTCTTCCTGCTGCCTTGCCCTGCCGCGCGCAGTCCGTTTCGCCCGCGCCAGGCCCGTTTAGCCCGCGAGCCGCCCGCGCGTAGCCCGTACAGCCCGCGCGCCGCCCTAGGCGGTGGCCAGAGGCAGCAGCAGCAGCGTCCGAGCGAGACCCCTTCGCCCCAGCTGCTTCGTGAGTGGTTTGCTCAGCGTGGGGCGTCTGGGGGTAGTGTTCGCTGCCCGTATGTCATTCGTACTGGTGTTCACACTGGTCAGACATGCAGGAAGCTTCACACCCAGTACCGCTGCTTCTCCCGTCTTGAGGACGCCTTTCGCGCAGAGTTTCCTGACACGTCTGAGCTCCCCCGCTGGGCAGAGCTGCTTAGGCAGGGTGTGGATATCTTTGCTCTTGATTATGATGCTATCCTTGCTGCCATGTATGCATTGACTATTAGTGCTGAGGGTGACTGTTACCTGTGTATGCCTCCCGACCCGGGTATAGCGGCTGCTGCTCTAGGTGCTAGTGAGTCTGCTCTCTCTAGTACTGCGCCTGCTGAGGCCTTGCACACCTTTACGCTTGACTCAGGTGCTTTCCGCTGTTTCTTTCGCGACAGTACCACACTCACACCACTCCCTGCACCGGTTGCAGTCAAATTGGCTGACCCCTCACGGGGACCAGTTCTTGCACGTTCCACCACAATTCTCCCGTATCCGGCGGTTCCGTCTGGTTCAGTGTCAGGTCTCCACCTCCCCTCGTTCGCTACGAACTTGGTGAGTACCGCTGCCATCCAGGATGTGATGGTCACTACCACCACTACTGGAGGTCAACGTGTGGTGATCTGCACGTGTACACGGACGGGCCGTCACCTGACCACGTTCTTGTCGGCCTGGGTCGAGTCTGTACACACTGACTACCGAGCCTCCTCAGGTAGCTGCGACAGCGTCTGCGTCAGGCCAGCTTGCAGCCGTGTCGTACCAGACTCTCCTTTGGCACCACCGACTTGGTCACCCCTCCCTGCCACGCCTCCGTGGCATGCACTCCCGTCTCCTTGTCTCTGGTCTTCCCAGGTCTCTGCCTCCCCTCCCACCCTCACTTGCCCCTCCGTGCCTTCCCTGTGTCGAGGGGCGGCAGCGCGCCGCTCCTCACTCCTCCTCGTTTCCCCCGACGAGTGCTCCCCCGCAGACTCTCCACATGGACGTGTGGGGCCCAGCCCGCGTCCGTGGACAAGGCCACGAGCGCTACTTTCTGCTGGTTGTTGACGACTACTCGCGTTACACCACGGTCTTCCCCTTGCGCAGCAAGGGGGAGGTCCCTGATGTTTTGATCCCTTGGATCCACGCTGTCCATCTCCAGCTCAGCGAGCGTTTTGACTCAGACCTTCCTGTCCTGCGTCTGCGCTCTGACAGAGGTGGTGAGTTCGCCTCCGACCTCTTGCGGGACTTTTGTCGTGGGGAGGGCATTCGCCAGTCTTTCACGCTTCCGGCCTCTCCGTAGCAGAATGGGGTTGCTGAGCGCCGCATTGGCTTAGTCATGGAGGTCGCTCGTACCTCCATGATCCATGCGGCTG